CGCCTGCAGGCGCCGGCGGGCTGTTCCGCGGGAGCGCACCCTCGGCGCGCTGCAGTAACGCGAGCGGTGAGGCGCCCTGCGGCAGGACAGTTCCCCGAAAGGGTGACGGGTAAAACCACGTAATCTGGCCCACGATCTCCTGGTCACACATCAGGCGCGTGCGATCCACCTTCTCGGTTGTTGGTTTTAACAGCCACGTGTCTGAGTAAAGGGATGGCGCTGAGTTTTAGGTTATTAATGCCTGTTCCTTGGTATTGTAGGTGAGTGTGGTGGTGGTTCCGAAGCGGAGGAGTTAACAAGCGGACTTGTTTTCCCTGGTGTTTAACACGTGACAGTCATGCTGTCTGGTTTTTAGTAGAAATAGCACTTGAGTATGTAATCAAAATTACATACGCGCGAAAGCCTAGCAGAACTGTTTCAGACTAACTTTGTAGTTGGGACTCTTACAGTGGACCTGGAGTATGGTCCCTTAATAATAGTCGGAACAGTGTAGTAAAGCTTTTAGGGGTGTTACGGTGTTGTGTCCTTCTATACAAAGATGGCTTGATGGAACCTCTGTGAAGTTCTGGTTCGCGGGAGCCTGCATTTATAATGGCAGAGAAATTGAAGATGGGGAACTACAGTAAAAGGCTGGATACATATGAGAGGTGACTCAGCTGGCTACTTTGTATCGCCATCGCAGAAATTTGATATTAAATGTGAACATTTTCTTAATTGTCCTTCATTCTGTAATGCTGAACATACAATTACCTTTTTACATTTTTTTTTTTTTTTAAATTTTATTTTTGGACATGACTTAGACCAGAGCAGCCTCTTTTCACCAGTTTGTTGACATGTACTTAAAGTTTTTGGATCCAATCCTGGAAGCTGTTCAGTGATAGTTCTGTCCTTACGTCAAGTCTGCTTATTTAATAAAGGTCTTGTGAGGGAATGTTAATTAAACAGTACATGGTGTAAGCTGTAGTTAAAACATCTTGAATTGGAAAGTATTACATAGAAGGAATATCAAGTTCTTAGGCTGTATTCTTAGGTTTGTGCACCATCTTACTTCTAGTTTTGTGCTAATCCGATTTTCTTTGCCGGCAGCATCTGTCAGATGAAGATACTTTTAAAGAAAGTCACTTAGAAACACACGTTATTTATTGCTTGCTGTATTAATTATTGTTCTCTGCACCTCTCAGTTAAAGGTGATGCTGAGGAATAGGATGCCTATGTTTCAACTGTTAAGTCACAAGAAAACTAATTCTCCGTGATCTGCTTTCACAGATGTTGCATTTCTATACACTGTGTTAACTGTTGTTGTAATTTTTATGTTCCTGGGCCCAAATCAAGCTCTCAGTGTTTGGATAAAAAGGCATGTGGGGTTGATAACCTATGTAATGGGAAAGGAAAGGAGAATGATGTATTGTTAACTACCTGGCCTCGTCAAATTTTTGCATGTGCCCATTTTGCAGTGCAGACTTTAAAGAAATAATTACTTAGAATTATGACTTTTGAGAGTGGATGCAGAGTGCAGATACGTGTTTGGCGGTATATGAATATCTCTGAGAAATATGCTGCTGGGGATAGGTGAGAGAAGGCGAGAGACTGCTTGCCACTGGTTTTCTCTCACTACTTCTGAAATAGTTTAGCAGCAGTCTGTGCTGAGAGGTAATGAATGATGCAGAGAAAAAGAACTATTTTATATAATCTCCTAGGGTAATTCTGTGAGGATAGGACTTGTTCTGGAAATATCTGGTTTCTAAATTTGATAATGAAACACAGTTGCAGTGGCTGTTGGTATCTGCTTTTTTTTTCCTCTACCAGTTCCAGTGTATTTTTTTTCCTGTCTGGATTATTCCTGGGGAGCTGATCTCCTCTGTTGATGAATAATTATCTCTAGTACTTTTATTGGCTAATTCTACAAAATGGAATGTATTAATGTATAATAAGCATTAACTTTGACTCACTGTGATAGTTTTGGTTAATACTGGCTAAGAGCATGGTACTCCAGTAGAGATATAGTCAGATCTGTAATTCCGTAAAAATCAGAAAGATGGTAAAGTACGTGGAAGTCTGGGTATATGAAGATGCTGGAGAAGCCTGTTTGGGCCCTATGAAATAGATACACCAAGCGCAAGAATATTCTATTTGCCTTTATGATTTCAGGTTATAAAGAATAATCCTCAGATTTAAAAGTATAAACTAAGGTATTGGATTTCTTTTAAGATATGTTGATTCATAGTCCTTTAATGATAAGTGCATTACAAGCGTAAGTAGCTACAAAGAGGTGGTAAATTACTGTCTAGTCTTCTAATTTACTTATGGCTTTTAAAAAATTATTATTTTCAAATCTATTGGATAAAGCCCTCTGTTTAAATTCAGAACTTAACATTTTGAGTTCTTTCTATATTTGATCAGGAAAACTGTTAATTCAGAATCCACTTTGCATGAGGCAGGCAAGAGGGAATCCATCAGAAATGCTTGTTCAAGCATATTTTGAATCTCTGAAGTAAAAACAGTGGGCTAGTTTAGATTATGATTTAAAGAACAAACAATGTTAGAACTTCCCTCATACATAGATGCTGAAAGACCCCTTCCAGTCAAAGATACTGAATATCTCATTTTAAAGGCACTTCTTTTCTGAAACTCACATATCTAAATGACTTGTTTTCTGTAGCTGGTTCAGAAACAGCCAGCCAGAGATGTATTCCTGGAGCTTGATGAGGTTGTGATAAAAGGTAATACAAATTAAAAATCTATTAAAAATAATTTATGTTGCATTAGTCAGACTTTATAGTCTGTTTTACATACATGCTTGCATGATTAGAGTAATAAATCAAGTAACTGGCACAAAATTTATATTGAACTTATTTAAAAATGGAGCTACATTTTTTTAATTTGTCAAAAACTGTAAATGTGTTTACTGTTTCCCAAGTCATGGTCACAGGTAGATACTAAGCAATGAGTAACCAACAACTAAACATTGATATCTTTACAAGTGTGGGATCTTATAAATGATTAATGGATGGCAGTAATTGTACCTCTTTGCAGTGGTGTTCTTTTAGGGTAAGCCTAATCTACAGTAGGGCAAAAGTATTTTCTAATTTGAATAGGTGGTGGTTCTGTCTAATTTAGTAATGAGCCAGTGCTCATTCTAAAATTACAAGTTCATTTTATTGACGGTTTTGTTGTCTAAAAGTTGAGATGCTATGAAACATAGTTGTAAAATTGTGGAAATTGTCATCCTCTGCTAGTATTACAGCCAAATATCATTATTCATGAGAATTTTCCAGAACCATCGTCTGCTTTAATGGTTACAGTAATGTTATGGTCCATTCACTACAGGATACAGTGGGAAGCGCATCCAAAGTGATGAAACTGTTTTAAAAGCACCTTCAAATTTTTAATGAACCAACTTTTTCCCCATATTGAAATCAATTGAGGAATGTATCGTTCCTCTAGACTTCATTATCTTAGATACAATTTTTTATTGTTTGGTGTTTGTTCATACACTGAAAGTTGCTTTCTATTTGTATTGTGATAAGGCTTCTTTTACTTGGCTCAAATAATGAGAACTTACAATCGGGGTTTCTAGTACTTTTGGGGAAGTTGGGTTTTTGGCTTTTTTTTTTTTTTTACTGCTGCAGAATTGCTGTCTAGCCAGCTGTGTATGTTTTATTTGTGCTGATTATTTGTGGAAGTGAAATACTTCACATTTGTCCTTATTTCATCTTGTTTGTTTTGGACCATCTCCCCAGTTTGCCACAAATGATTTAAGAACTTCAGTATCGTCCTCCAGCTTGTTTTTGTCTCTTCTCAGCTTGATATTAATCTAATTTTTGTGAAGAACTGAAGTTTATTAAGGTTCTCTCTATTGCATTATTTTTTTGCTTACTCTGACAGCTTTTTTTTTCCCTGTTACAGCTTAGAGTATTCTAGTTTTATTTGTTTGATATATGTATCACCTAATAGATTTTCCTGAGTTTTGATTCCTTGGCAAATATTTAAGGCTTTTTGTCCTCTCCAGTACCTAATATAATTTTATCTGGTATATAACTGGAGATGTGAATCTGTGCTGGTCTTGAAACAACTTTGTATTGAGCCTCTTGTAAAGCTGAGAACATACGTGTTTTAATTCTGGTTGGTTTTCCTTCGGATTACCTTGAAGTCTTCTCATTACCTTGAATAATTTCGCATTTCCAGATCCTTTTGAGAAGTGTTTATCGAAGTGTGTAAGGTCAGTGATTAGTAGTGACTTTGTTACCTTTGCTGATACTGAGATTTTTCTTCTCTCTTCCCTGTCCCCTTTCTCCTGGTGTTTTTCTATAGGAGTTGAATTTCTCTTTCACTGAGGTTCTTTCACTTCCAGTATGGAGATGAATCAAGAAAAACTGTGTACCAGTAAGGCTGATGTGAGCTCAGATTCTGCTTATCATTGCTCAACGTGTCATGATGACGAGGAGTGGAGCAATACTAGCCGGGGACGAGCTAAGTCGCGAAGTTTGTCTGCTTCACCAGCCCTAGGAAGCACCAAAGAATTCCGGTATGGCTCTTGGCTCTTCCTGTTGTTGCTACCTTTAAGGGGGAAAAAAAAAAAATTGTTATCCAGATTTTCATTTTTGCTTCTCTTTTTATACAGCCCTGGTCTTGCAGCTGTGACAAGTCATAATGAACAGAAACAAAAATAGTGTTTTGTGGTAATAAATAGGGAGGAACATGATTAGTGAACCATCCTATTGGTCCATGCTGTGAAAAGAACTTGAATTTCTGAAGTACCCATGTTGGTGGTCATCTCTAAACTGACATTCATGTAAATAGGTTCTGGTTGGTTGTGAGGCTTGCCTTCTGTTTCAGTGTTTCTTGGTAGATCTGAAACTGCTTTTTTGTAGATACTTCAGCAACGTTCTATGTGTGCATAAGCAGCTTGAGGAAGACAATGCATTACTGTTTGCTTTGTATATGCTATTTAAATGCTGTCTGAAGTGAGTATGTCAGAGCCTGGATTCAATAAAGTGTTTGAATTTAGAAATGGTTATGTGAAATGTAATAGATACTTTTTTTTTTTTCTTTTTGAAACTGCACATGCCATTTGGCATGGCTGTCAAAACAGGTATCTGCAGAGTTCATAGTCTTAAAGAAAGAATCAGTCAATAGTAGAGACACTTCTGCAAATTTTTACACATTTACTAGCTAGAGCTCTAGTGCTGTGTATTAAAAACCTGCATGAGTATTTAGGTTATACGGTGATGTGAGGCAGCACAGAGTAAGTTTGTGCATGCAGATTGTTTCACAGCAGTGAGAAACGCCCATTTTTTCTTTGAGCCAAATTTCTAATCTAGTCAAGGCTCTTGCTATGTGGACAGCTTGGATAGAACTTTTGATTTTGTGATCTTTGGACCCATTGTAAATATTGAATAGCATGCTGTGGTAGCAGTGTGTCTTCATCTTGCGGGAAGCATAGCAGAACTTTACCTTACTTAGATTTGTGACCCTCTATAAAAGCATGGATGGAATCATGGAAGACTTTCTCAACAGATGAAATTCTCGTCCAGAGTTACTGCTTTGATGGTAGGAATGCTCTTGCAAGGCAGAGCATATATGGGTGAGGCTGAAGATCACAGGGGGAAGCTTTACGGTGAAAGGAGACATAATAAAAGCCTTTATCTGAAGAGCCTAAAAGGTTAGGAAAATACTTGCTGTGCATACGTAGTTCAGAAAGTCAGTGTACTTTAATGCTTTTGGAAAATGTTCACAAAGGACTGTGCTCTGACTGTACTGTTCTAGCTCCTATGTTGTGAGTCATAGTCAATACGTAAGACTTTACATTAAAAGCGTTCTGTAAAACTACTGTTTTTGCCCTTGTGTAGCCTTCAGTCAACCTGTGTAAAAGACCATGTGGTCTAAATTTTTGTGTATTATTATCTTCTAGCTAAGTAACTACTTTTTCTTTTTTAAACTAGAAGAGATCTTTGTAGACCCTACCCATTGTGGGTTTGAATTATGTTTATTGTTTATGAGATTTTTTTTTTTTCATTAAGATGTTCTGCATTCATTCACTGGCTGTCTTCAATTTAGTGCAAAATTGTCACAAGGCATTTTGCAGAATGTCAGAAAGTGATCTCAGGCTTTCTATGTGGTATTTAGATTGAAGTAGTTGCCTTATCTGCTTTAAACTGACAAGTATATTTTCCTAAAAGATGTATAATTTCCAGTGCATTGCTGCTCATTCTCAGCAAAGACAGTCTTACTACAAACAACTTTAAACTCTGTTCACTCAAATATTTTACCTTCTATTGATTTAATAGTGTATGCTCTATTAAATTAAAAGTACTAATAAAACCAAGTTAAATCTCAACCAAAATGTATACCAGTTATTAAATTGAGCTTGCAGAGAAAACTTTGTTTGAATGTCGTGAAGGTCGGATGTGGATATTTAACGCCTCTTGTAGGAACAGCGTTTAGCCAATTACTGGGAATGGCATAGAATAATGAACTGTGTTGAAGGAAGGCAAAAAAGGCAGTTATTTGGGAGAAGCTTGAGTAGAGCAAGAAGTGGGAGCTGATGTTGCCAGGGCGTTATTTAGCTATCCTGATTGCTGGTGTAATTGTTCACAAGTAGACAGAAACTCACCATTCCTTTACACATACTGGTACGCACATTAATGTCTAATTATGTCAGCTCTTGCTTATTTTTCTGTTTTAATATAAATAAGGTAAACTTTATAAAACAGTAATAATCTTACCTGACTGGATTAGTCATGCCTAGACTTACAAGTGGAAAAAATTATGCAAAAAACAAATACCACTTCTGTGTGTTAGATGTTGAAAATTAAATACTCATTTTCCTTATTGGAATTCTTACACATGCGTGTTTTATTAGACATGGAACAAATAAGATGTTGCTGTTATTCCTTAATTATATTTTTTTAACCTGTCATCTGTTTTGGATTTTTATTAGATTTCTGAGGGGTTTTTTCTAGTCCTAAGAGTGAGTCATCAGCCTGGTCTGAGCTACTTTATAATACACACAATAGAAGGCAAAGCAGTAGTGATTTGTTACTGCCAAGCAATAGGTTAGCTACCAGTTCCTATATTAATTGAATTAAGCACAGGAAAGGCATATTTCCCCTTTCTGTTTAATGGAATAATTCTAATAGCATTTACATAATGTTTCAACAGTTACATGACTTGAGTAAGTTTTACTCCCATTTACAGATTTGCTGAAGGAGGTGGGAGGAAAGTAAGGCAGAACCGTTCTGACTTGCTCCAGATAATCTCATCCTAAAGCTAGGAGTAATCCTGTGTTCTGGGTGGGATTTAAGTTTGAGGATAAATGATACTTCAGAACTTCTGTTTATTTGAAGACAAAGATCATATTAGCTCTTACTAGGTAAATAAATGGGGAAAAAAGAGTCTACCTATTCAAAACTAGGGCCTGGTACTGCAGATATGTGTCTCGATATACCTTAGAATTGAAGGATTTGCGTTTTATTAATTTATTAAGTGCGAAGATTTGAACAACAAAAGAAGTGTTTAAATGATTGGGACACCATTACTGTGGCTTGATCATGGCAAAAAAATCTGAAGGTGTTGCCTTGGTGTTGGAGATTTCATTGTAAATGCTTGTTAAGACTTATACTGGGAAACCTGATTTATATGTTACTGCACCTTATTGAGATGAAGAGCACTCATTAAGCTATTTTAAGAGTGTTTATATGAGATTTAATCATTCTGCGTGTCCCGTTCAAAAGCTGTGTGCTCTTAGGTAAGATGTAGTGCTACAAGAAATACAGAAAAGAATTGTATCGTGGTTATTGTGTCTGCAGCAGTGAAGCTGGTGTCACTTAGGAGTTGATGCAGACTAATCCTTTACACACACTGACAACACACAACTAACAGTTGTCATAGATTGTTGCTGAGAGCATGGCCTGAAAACAACAGTCTTGGGGTTATTTTTTTGTTTGTATGCTTAGTTGTTTGCTTGCTCATTGCCAACAGAAATGAATGCATGCCAAAATATTACAGAAGAGAAAGTGCTTACGCTATATAAACAAAAGCCTAGCTTATGTTTTGTATTTTAATTAATTGATTAGGCACACTTATTAAATGAAGGTTGCGAGACTACTGGATTACCTAACAAAAACTGAATGCTGCTGCTCTTTCTCTCAGCTAGTGTTACTACAGCGATATTTTGAGTTTCTTTTGAAAGTTGCCACAAGTGTCTCATTTGATAATTTCTTGGTGTTATTTAATAAATTCCTACAAAATCTGAAGTGTTCAGTCAACTACTGGTCAAGTACCTGGTTGAGTACGCAGTGTTAAATACTTGTTTGTGTATTCATATTGACTATTACTTAGGATTACAACAAATGGAGGAGTTGAAAAACGTGTCCTTTAGTTATTTAAATTTCTTCTTACTCTAGCTTAAAACAAAACTTTTTTAAAATATGTAAAAACTACATAGCTAATTCTGAAACAGGAATTTTTCCTTTTCACGGTAGTGAGGCCTTGAAAATAGAAAATAGATTGTTTTTATAATTTGGGTTTATTTACACATTTTTTTGGTCTCTGAGACATGCATGTACTGTTCTGTATTGCAGTGTCCAGAGGCTAAATAGAATCTTTGCAGGCTTGACATGAATTCACAGAACCAACCTGAGAAAACCTGCCCATATCCTCTTTGAGTCTGTGATGCTTCCTTTGTGCAAAGTGAAGATGAATACAAGAAGAATATGCGCCTGGTACTAATATTTAGGAAGTGATTAGTCAGTGTGTGAAGGGGATAAACTGTAAGTGAGGCTTCATGTAAAATCACTTTCAAAGAATAGGTACAGGAGTTAAATTTTAGATTTGAAATGCGAGAGCTAATATGTGTAAAATTGCATTGGCTGTTCAAGCACAAATGTTGGTTTAAGAAACGTACTTTACCCTGTATTGCCTAGTGCAGCTTTTTCAAAGAAGTGGTTTTGGTGGTTGGGGAGTTAATTATACCCAGTTTGCCATCACATTATTTTACTTATTTATTATTTTTATATATATTTTTAGGAGAACCCGCTCCTTGCATGGACCATGCCCAGTGACCACATTTGGACCAAAGGCCTGTATGCTGCAAAACCCTAAAACGATTATGTAAGTACTTGTCAAATAAATAGTATTAGGCTTATTCTGTGTGAAAGAAAAAAAAGTTTGCTTTTCCACTACTCACCCCCTTATCGGCATTGTTTGTATTTACCTGATATTTAGAGGTTTTCATGTTGCTTGATTGCCCATTTGGGGTCTGCATTGCCAAAATTGGCCTGTGATTTTGTTACCACACACTAACCGTTTAAAAAGTCAGTCTGAGAGGAGAATGGATAGCACTGCTGAACTGTGTTCTCAAGTAAAACCCCATTAGATGTGCATTAGCTTGATCTGCATGTTGAAAAGTACAATATGGGTTTGAATGTCGTTGTTGTTTGTCTTTTTTCTCCCAAGGGATGATAGGACATAATCGATATTTCTCTGTATGGATTTATAGTGGTTTTGCTGGTTGGAATACTTCCTGCAGGGTAACGGACATACAAGGAAATAAATTTTACTGGTTTTACGTTAATAATTCATGTGGTGTTCTTAGGCCCACTATCTACTGCCTAAACTAATGGGAGTTTTTTCATAGCTCAGTATATCTATTTCAGAAAAAAAATTAACCATTTCACAGAAAATACAGCAGGACATGTGAGTAGTATTAAGTACTGAAGTTTTGTTTAGACATGTTTTGCATAATCTGCAATCCACGGTTTGATGTCAACAATGGCAACTATAATAAAAGCTTTCCAACATAATTGACGGTAAACTCACCATGTGTATTAAACACCCTTATAGCAATCTAAGTATGATACGGAGAAGCTATTGGTAGCATTTTGGTTATTCCATCAACTTGAAATACGTAAAGAGCAGTGTTTCTGAATGAGAGCGGAAGAAAAATTGTTATGGACAACATGAGGAAAGGAGAAGTAGTTCTGTGTACTGTGAAATCTGAGGAAAGCCTTCTCCCTCTCTTGGTATTATGTGTTTGAGGTAGTAGTTTGAATTTTTCTATTTGAGCTATGGCAGTTTCAGTGTATGAATATCATTAAGGCAAGTTTGCTTTTATACTCTGAAAATAAGGGTTGGTTTCTGCTTCGCGGGCATAGAAACATTTTAATTTTGTAGGTTGGGTGGTATAAAAGTGTTGCTTTTTACACCGTGTATTGTTAGTAAATGGTGTCTTGACTTGGTCAAACGAGGAATGTCAGGTTCTACAGATTAACCAAGTTAGTGGTCCCTATTTTTGTCCCTTCAAAAAGTTTTATTTCATTGTTTTTTCAGTTAAACATAAGGTATTTGTGTTATTTATTTGCCCCAATCTTTACCTAACTAGTAGTAGTCTTCCTCAGAACAGGTTGGTGGTATCCTAACTTTTCCTATGAAGGTGTGGCGGAAATTTTGCAGCGTACAGAAACTCGTAGCTTCCTCATTCTTTCTGTCTGTTCTAAAGTTTGTGGCTTGGAGTGCTCTTGTTCAACTGAAAACCCAGCTTGTGTTGTGTGTTTACCCACCTGATTGTGATGAACATGCTCCTCCCCATGGGCTGGGCCAGCACGGTAAGATATAATGACAGCGTCAAGATGGGTGGAGTACACAGGCTGCAGGCAAAACTGAGCGCACGCTACTAGCCAGGGAAAAGGCTGCGTATGCAGTGTTGGCAGTAACTGGGGAGTAAAGGGTGCTCTCAGGTCATTGAAGGAGAGGACTGTTTGAAGACCAAATTGTAAAATACTATTCTTACTATATGAAAGGTTTTTGTTGTGGCTTCTAAAAACAAGCAAAACTTTTCTGTTTTGGTTTTTCTTCTCTACAGTAATGTAATATTGTTAAACTCTCTTCACTGGAGAGAATTTTTTAACAAAAAATTTCAGGTTTTATGTATAGGCATAAGTTAGTGAAGGTCTTGATGTGTCTTCAAGGGCTAGTGTTGAAGATTGTATTGAAAAATCTGCTTTCCGAAGACTGTTACGTAAGATGACCAGGTGAATTGAATGACGATTCAGTGAAAAAAGAATTTGGTGCTTGTGTCGTTGAGAAGAGGGGAGGTCAAATAGAAAAATGTTTTCTTCTGAGGTAGCACTTGATTAAGTGAGAAAAGCCGTAGCCTTTTTTTTTTTTTTTCTTTGGAGCTCTTACATTTGCCTGACTCCTGGAAATAAACATGAAGATCTTAAAGCATGTTATGAATAATCTTTCATTTAATAGAACTACATGGAATTGGTGAGTACAGTTGAAAGAGGCAAACTCTTTCATTTGAATGAAGTCTGTATTAGCTCTAGGTTTATTAAGTGAAAAGCAGTGCCGCAATCTTTAGTTCTTTGCCAGCTTTAGAAGATAGATTAATCATCTTGAAACAGTTTTGGGGGTGGTTTCTCTATGTCTATTTTTTACCTTTTAACAGTATTGAGATTTGAGGGGTTTAATTTTATGAAATTAACTTTGGTATAGAAAAACGCTTCCTTAGTCACCATTTGTGTTGGAAATAGAATATTCAGCTTTGGTTCCTTTGCAGCTGTTCAGCAGCAATAAACACATTAATGCAACTCCTCCTATTTTATTTCATTTCAGTTCATTTCCAGTTTAGCTGTTGGTTGGCTAGTCAAGTCAGAGGTTAGTTAGTCAAGCCTTCCAGATTCATAGTCATCTCAGATTCGTGGCGATGTTTGAGACCAAGTCTGGTATCTTCAAAATGCCCGTACACTGAGCGGGGGGGTTGGACTAGACTCTCCAGAGGTGCCTTCCAACCTCCACTATTCTATGATTCCTTGACTGTAAAATGAAATATAGCATAATCTTGAAAGTCGGTATGTGATACTGAGTGTAACCGCATGTTGTATTCTTCTGTGTTATGTAATAATATTTAGAGAGACAGCACTGGTTGTTAGTAAGAGTTACTGGTATTAGACTACTCCATCAATCTATAGTTTCTGCTGTATTTATATGTAGAATATAGGCATTTTGGAAAGTAAAATGAATTCCACCTCTGTTCTATCGTCTGTTTTATTTTAACCCCTGGAAGTGCTAAATCCAAATCTCTTTGTAAATTTGCCTTGTTCAGCATTTATACTAATCTGCTTTGCTTTATGGATTATATCTGCACCCTATGGAAAAGGATGGGATGCTTGTTATATGCGAAATACAACTGTGAAATGATGTAGCTTAGAAGTAGATACTAAAGAAGGAAGATACAGCTGAGTATTCCTAAATCAACTACACGTCTTCTAGAGCGACATGAAGGTTCTGTTACTGAACCTTCTTGAAAGCCGCAAAATTATTTGTGTACATACATTTAGTTCTTGAGGTTGTCAAGTCTTAGAATGCTGTCGTGATAACAGGCAGACAGTAGTTTTAAAATACTTTTTAAAGTTAAATTTTTTTAATTTAAAGTAGTAGTTGTGCTACTTTTTAAGCAGATAAACATTTTTGTGATCGACATGAAAATAAAGTAAATGCATAGATTAGAGTTTCAAAGAAATTTTGCACAAAAGTTACATATGCTTGCATATCTGTAACGTTTACCTGGAATAGAAGTATAGAGGCTTCTGTTCCTCTTTAAGCCCTTTATTTATGAGGTTTTATGATAGGAAATATAAGAGTTTCAAGTGCAGACTTCCCAGAATAGAGTTTATGTACTATATTTTTTTCACAGTTGTTAAGGCTTATCTTGAAGGTTTAGTACAGGTGACCATGTGAATCTTAATTATTTGCCCTTCTCTTGTGATAGTGTTTAGTATTAGTAGAAAAGCTGTAGCCTGCATCTACAGGCTTCAATCTGTATTGAGAAAACTGTGACTGTATACTGGTGTCGGTGGAAAAAATGCTGAAGGAAATAATGTTAAAAAGAATATTTGGGTTGGAACTATTGCACTAATTTTTAGATTTACATTGACTTGTTTGACTTACAGTATGGGATGGCAATAAAAAATTATGCTGTAGCTTCTTCTGATTCTCTAATTGGATGTTTCTCCTTATTTTGAGTGAGCTTAATAGGAGAGGGGACTAAAATAAGGTAGAGGAAAGCATTGTGGCTGGAAGCCTTAGGGAAGGTGTCAGTCAGTTCAAGAACTTGATCCAAGAGCTTTTGTAGTGCTTCTGTTAAAGTCCCTGCTTGCACACGTTCTTAGCATGGTAGCAGTTACAAGAATGGACGCTTGATTGGTTTCATGGGGGAAAAAGCATTGTTACAATATGAACTATTGCATCCTTCTTTCTATTGTTCTAGGACTGCGTGCAGTTATAATTGAGGATGTATTCTTAACAGACCAGAATGTTGTCAGAGCAAAATGTAGTAACATTGTCTTTTTTTTTTCTTTTCTCTAGGCACATTCAGGATCCAGCAAGCCAGCGGTTGACATGGAACAAACCTCCCAAGAGTGTCCTTGTTATTAAAAAGATACGTGATGCCAGTCTGCTGCAGCCTTTTAAAGAGCTTTGTGTGTATCTTACTGAGGTAATGAAATGTAAAATCCATTTTTTTACCATAATTAAAAGTTTTACATCTAAACTGGTTTCAATTACCGGTTCTGTTGAATGTGGAATGTGCAGAATTGTATAGTGCAAACAAATTGTTATACCCATTGCCACTGGAAGTAGTAAAACTTGTTTCACAGCTTAAGATCAGTACTTAAGTACTGTAAATACAGAGCTTAAGAAAAAAGTAAAGAAAAAGCTTTCCTTCATTCCATTTGCAGTTCTAAATTACAGGGAAGGGGACGTAAATCCTTTAAGCCTTGAACAAACAGAACAATGTTACTGTATGATGTAATCGTTATTCCAGAGCTTAGTTTAATCCGTTAGATGGTCTGTGGAAGCTGCAAAATTCTCATTAGACTTAGACCACACATTAAAAGTAACCCCCCCAACCAACAAATGCAGACCACTTCTGTAAAATAATATTTGTATGTTTTAAACTAATGTAAATTATGGGGAGAGTAAAATATTTTGTCAATTTATGAGGTTATTAACAAGCCTATCTTGCCTCTCTTAAGGAGAACAATATGATAGTGTATGTAGAAAAAAAGGTATTGGAAGACCCTGCTATAGCTAATGATGATAATTTTGGACCAGTGAAGAAGAAATTTTGCACCTTCAGAGAAGGTATGGTAACCATTTCTTGAAAGTGAAGTTGAAGTATGTTGCTTATAGGTATTTCCTTAATTGTTCGGTCAGGTTTGTTCAACTAATGTGTCTTTTGCAACCAGCTGCTATTAGATCTTAATTGTGTTTTTTACATTTGTGAGTGAATGTTGGCATGCTGCAGTTAATTTACATTCGGAAATGAAGAGTATTGATACAACTTAATTCAAAACTTGTATTTCAATGTTGCTTCTAGATTATGATGATATCTCCAATCAGATAGACTTTATCATATGCCTGGGAGGAGATGGGACCTTACTTTACGCTTCTTCGCTTTTCCAGGTTGGTCTTTATGGGAAATAAACTTGAAGACCTCTTTTCTTTTTGAAGTATTTGAAGGTTGTTGTTTTTTTTTTTTTTCTTCATTATAGAGTTCAACACTTGTCCTTTGCTGTTGATGCCTTTTTTTATCAAGCCTCTTTTACCCTGTACTTTCTGAAAATAATGTATGTAATGTGTTGTTTTTATTATGCACAGTTGAAGTTACATCAATAGTCAAACTATTTACAGGCAATTAGTTGAAGTATGAATTGCTTTTATTCAGTAGCTTTTAAATTCTTTTCTTTATTGATAGGGTAGTGTACCTCCAGTTATGGCTTTTCATCTGGGATCCCTTGGATTTCTTACTCCATTTAATTTTGAGAATTTTCAGTCCCAAGTCACTCAGGTTATAGAAGGTAAATTTAAGGGGACAAGGTGTGGTGTTTCTTTTTGTTACTTTTTCTGTAGCTTTTTCCAAGGCTGGTAAATAAATTTTCTTAACCAACTCATTTAGGTTGTCCCATCAGGCAGTCACAAGAAACGTATACTAAACTAAGAGAAGTATTGCATTGCATTGACCCATTCAGTGCTGCTTTCTGTAGCATTTTGTAAAGGAAAACGGCTAAGAAACAACTTTGTCCTGTGTGGAGTAAACAAGTAAAAGATGGTGTAGAACTTGTGTTAAATGACAGCTAAAGATACAAATAGAGTGTAGCTCTGAAGTCTGCAGTGGTCTGTTTCTCTAAGCAGTGTAGTGCTTAAATACTGAGGAGTCACACAAACAAAATATTTGAGGAAAGAAATCCTTTGTTTCTTCAAGAGGAGGTTATCTGAGTTGCATCCAAAGTAGATTCCTGAAAAGATGTATAAAATTCTCACATTGCTAGAATGTTGTCTTTTAATAGGTGCTTCTAATACACTAATTTTCTTTAGGCTTATCTTTTGTCTTAGTAAAGATCCTATGAACCTAACAGTATTTTCCAATCTTGATCATGTCCATTTAAATTTTCTTTTTACATGATGAGGAAAGGGAGGACAGACTGGGTTCAAATTTTAGATTAATTTTGCTCATTACTACTGAAAATTAGTTTTGAGCTTTAACCAAGTATAGACAATTATCTTGTGAATGAAATTGGGAATGTTGAAAGCACAGGCAATAGATGGATTTCACGGGCATTTCATACAGTTTGCTAGTCATTACAGGGTTTTATTTACTATGCTAGCATATAATTTTTGTGTACTTTCTCCTATATTTCAATTCTAGGCAATGCAGCACTTGTTCTACGAAGCAGGCTGAAAGTGAAAGTAGTAAAAGAGCACAGAGAGAAAATGACAGTACAAAATGGTATAGAAGAAAATGGAGTAGTGTCTGCAAATATAGAGAAAGAAGTGGGCAAGCAAATTATGCAATATCAGGTCAGAGGGCAAAATAAGCAAAAGAACTAATGCGCTGTTTTTAGATTGCTTTTACTTGGTTTTATTATAACTTTCCCCTTTTCATCAGTTTACTTACATTAGCCCAGTGGTGTGGGACAGATCCATATTGTTCTAATTCACAGTATGTGCACTAAACAATGAGGAAGTGATGTACTACATTACTTTCTGCAATTATAAGTGCTAATATTGTACCTTCGTTTAGTAATATTTTCCTTCTATTTCAAAAACAAAGTAGTATTTCTAAAATGGGATATCCTGAAGATTTTTAGAAGTGAAAAGAAAACCCCTGCATGTTGCTAGTAACAAGCTTCTGGAAATAATTCTTAACATCTGAAAACTTTAGCTGACACTTGATAAGACAGAAGCGTAAAGAGTCTAATTTGGCAGGTACTAAACCAGCATCAGTTTTTCAAAGATCTGGAAAGCATATTTCGACTTGCCATTTATTACATTGCCAAGTCAGCAATAGCGGACTGGTATAATACTTGATGTCATGACAGGTCCTAAATGAAGTCGTAGTGGATCGTGGTCCTTCTTCTTACCTTTCCAATGTAGATGTGTTTCTAGATGGACACCTGATAACAACCGTGCAAGGAGATGGTGAGTCTGCTTCTTGAGTTAAATTGTTTATCACTTCTTGTGTAGACTGTTGCTATTTTACTGGAGGATTTTCTCACATGGAAACAAAATACCAAGCTTAATTTCATTGGTGACAGAAAACATTAGTGTGCAAAGAATAGGTATGTTTGTTTACTGGTAACTAATGCGTTCCACAGTGAAGCATTAAAGTGTTGTAAGCTTTGTTTATGGACTTATGAAGGCAACTGACAGTTTCTTTGGGTATGATGTGTTAGGGCTTAAGGGCAAGAAATAGTTCAGAAAAAATTTGCTTGGATATCTGAAAGTTGATAAAGACCTCAGATTTCAAGTCCTGAAATACAGAAGTTTATCTGTAAAGTTCTTGTCATTAAAAAAAAGAACGTCACTGTTAGAAAGTTGTGTAACCTGAGGTCTAGAAGTTTATGCAGCTTCACCATAGAACAAACGTGCTGTGCCAGGATTAGAGGAGAGTTTCTGACTTCTTGTGTATTAGACTGCAATTCTCCTGTGAAATACAAGTTGGTACATTCTCTGCTTCGTTTTCATAACAGTGCGATTTCTTAGTCATCTTCCAAAATGACACATTGATTGTAAGGCTAATGTAAGTGAAATTTTTGCTCCTTTCACAGGAGTCATTGTCTCCACACCGACTGGTAGCACTGCATATGCAGCTGCAGCAGGAGCTTCTATGATTCATCCAAATGTTCCTGCAATAATGATCACCCCAATCTGCCCTCACTCATTGTCTTTCAGACCTATTGTTGTTCCTGCTGGAGTGGAACTCAAGGTTAGCTTCTGTTATGTTATTTCTCTTTCTAAGTTAAAATCTTTTTGTAATAACCATGTGAACCTGACCAAAGCAGAAGAAGTTAGGAAGTGCCGTGTATCTCCTGCATTCTTTCATTTGTAGGAGGACTGGATCGAGCCTGGCTGAAGAATGCATCTTTATTTAAAATAATATACCCACTAGCGAAATATTTTACACTGCTTCCTACTGGATTGTACTTGTGTAACGTTCTGTAAAATGGGAATACATACATTTGCATTCTGACTAATAAAATTTTACATAATTTCTGCTAAAGTGCATGTAAATCAGTGGTGTTTAAGCAAATGAAAAAATTCTACTGCTAAAACAAGAAATATTGCAGTTTTTTAGTATATTGGTAGTTATCTGCAATTCACTAATTATTTTTTGTTAATGCTGTCTTGCAGAAAGGCTTGTAATACCTGAATATAAAATGGACTTAGTTAATGTGTATTTTCGACAAATATCCACGTATAAGTAAGAACCCCTTTCTGCTTCTTGTATCTGTTACAAGTCTCCAGTCTACTTAAGCTGGAAGAGAACTAAGGGCTCTCCTAGCAATGTTAGAAGATTATCATTAAGAAAGAAGTGTTTGCTGGGGTTTTTGGTCTTGTTTTACAACATAAGTTGAATGTTTATTCATGGCACTGCTCTCAGTACACAATTGCTTTCATGTCGCTGGGTGTTACTGGCCAATGGTAGTCAATTCTTTCTCTTCAGAATGTATGAGCAAAACGTCCTAAATTTGACAGCTTTAGATTCATTATGTATGAAAATATTTTTCTGGATTAACTTTATTGTTTTTCTTGAAAGAGATGCTAAGTCAACTCGTGTGACTGAATTAAAGCATGCACTGGCTGTAACTGGAAGGTCTTTCTGGTTTATGACCTTGTATTTATAAAGAGGGGGTTTATTGCATATAGAAAAATATATGCATATATACTGAACATGAAATGAAGGTTTGGAACTTGTGTGGTATGTTACTGCACTGTTATTATGGACAGATTGTGAATTTCAGTGCAACTGTAAAGTTGCAAAGAGTCAACTCTGTACTCGGAGTGTGAAGGAGGTGTTTGTTCCTTGCGCTTGAAACATAGATTTTAGACCTGAAGTTTAATTCTTTTCTCTTTTTCAGATTATGCTCTCCCCGGATGCCAGGAATACAGCATGGGTTTCATTTGATGGAAGGAAGAGGCAGGAAATATGCCATGGAGACAGGTCAAGCCTTTTTTTGATTGTAGCATCTCTCTATAAGTATAGAAAATACTGATTCATGTACTTCTCTCATTCTCTAACATCTGTCAAAAGTTTTGCTGGCAATGATAAAACGAGCTTCTATAAACCCTAACAACTCTTAACAGCACAAGCTGCTCTAAATGTATTTAATTTCTAACATGAGTTTTTTAGATCTTACTATCAAGTGAAAGTTTAAGTGAAAAGTTAAGACAAGAGCGTGTAAAAATTGCATGCTTGGCAAGGAGGATGGACATGTCTTTAGAAAATTCTGTAAATTTAACTTAAAGTAAAATCTCTTGAGAACATGTAAGCTAACAGGAGTTGCATGTAAGCAGTGGCTGTGAATAATGCCATATGGTTTAAACTGTATTAACTTCAGTTGAGTGGTTGTGGTCACTTGTGATGCTATTGCCTTGAGTGAGCAGAATGCAGTGTGTAAAGTTTCCTCAGTTTTTATGTGCAAAATGTGGTGGCCTGTCCTCATGGGGGGTGATTTAAGGCAACTGTGTGATACGTGACTGGTAGACTTGCTATTCAGGTTGACTTCTTTTTTTTCTTGGTCCGCACAAGTTGCCAGGAAGGAAAATGTGTAGCTGGCATGATGCTCCATCTTGAATCGTTTGTATTTCCTCTGAGGTTTAAAGATCTATAGAATAGGTCAGGAGACTCGTAAGGATTCAAAATGAGATTTGGCCCTTTGTTAGATGCTAGCCTTCTTAGTGCTGTTGCTTATAGTTAAAACTTGAAAATTAAAGGTCAAGGTGGTGACTTCTATTTTTCTTTGTCCCTCTATTGTTGATGTGAAGACCAGGAAAAGACTGCAGGACATCATGGAGTGGGTTCAATATTCTCACTGTGTCAAAGAGTGCTGTTCACAGTGCCTCTGTTAACAGTTTTAAGCCGTGTGTTCACTCTGTCTAGATGAGCCTGCAGACTTGGTTATTACTTGATTATGGAAACTCGCTGTTTTACCAAATTGGCTGAACGTAGCACTGTGTTAGCTAGTGAATAGAAGATTTTTTTTTTTTTTTTCAAGTTGCTGTTCATTGCCCTTGACTGACTGGGATATTCCTGTGTTGTTGCAGTATTAGCATCACTACCTCTTGCTATCCCCTTCCTTCGATCTGTTTCCGAGATCCTGTGAGCGACTGGTTTGAAAGCTTGGCTGAGTGTTTACACTGGAATGTTCGGAAGAAGCAAAATAACTTTGCTGTTGAAGAAGAAGAATTTTGAGTGTCTACATCTAACAAGACTCGTGGGAATGGAAAGTGGCAGTATCCCTTCTATATGCTTGGGTTTTTAAGTTTTTGGCTAACAAGTGTGGTCACCATCTCAGACATACATAGTGATTAGAGTTTATATCTGACTGACCTGCTGATGGCTGGAAATTATTGTGCTACTTCCTGTCCACCAAGAGTAGGAATGGAAGAAATTAGGCTCTGATTGTTGTAACCCAGTTTGAATTTCCTTTAAATGGACAATCTGAAAATGGATTATTTCTGATTGGTATTGACAACTGCATCTGTAGATTTGATTGTAACCCGTAACTTACCAATAACGTGGTAGGCTGAATGTAGATGCATAATAGAAAAGTGGCATTAGTCTGTTTAATTTGGTATATTTGTAATTCCATTTAAGACCTGTATGCGTATAAAGGCTTTAAGAAATTTCTTTTTAAAAAAAAAAAGCTGCTCTTTGTTAGCTTAAATGTCTTGCCCAGAACAGCTCCCCATCAAGACAGTGCTTGACACACTGTGAAGAAACACCCATGAAGAATGTTTTTTATGAATAGATGGAACTAGTAAAAAGTTTTAGGTTTTTTATATACATACATGTATATCTTATGCCCATTTGAACAGTGTTTGACCCTTTGCTGTCATCACTGTGTAAACATCCACAAAGAGCATGGACAAGCATTAGTGTGGGCTTAGTTAGTTATTACAGTGCTCTCCATTTTTGTAGCTGAGCTAGTTTGTAGTTCTGCAGTTCCTGTTGGTGGGAATCATCACTGTGGTGTTTTCTCTTTTTTTTTTTTTCCTTGATTCTCTGGAATAAATGGTAGCATTAGACACTACAAAGTAAAACAACCCAAACAACTCCAGGTGTTCAGAAAGAATCTGGACTTCCATTACTACTACATTGTCTTGAAGAAAACTGATATCCTGTACTAGGAACCCTGAATGCCCTCAACTTCCATTGATACCTTCCCACTCTTGGTGCTGAGTAATACAGAAAGGGGTACTGCATTGGTAAGCTGATAAATACACATTCCCGGTAGAGTAGCAATGGTGCCTTCAGCACACTCAAGATATTCTAAGTCTCATACTGACTTTTTTAAGATGCTTTCAAATGTTTCTAACTTCTCTATGTAAATATTTTATTGTATGTGCTTTTATGAAAGAATAACAAAAACCAACAAAAAAACCAGTTGGGGAGAAAAGGGTTTGTACTGTACTTTAACTGAAAAATATCAAACCCAAGTATAATGTTTACATTTATGTTCTCTGTGGTGCAGTCTCATGATCATACTATCGAAACTTTAGCATTTTCAAATTCTTGCTGCATTGGACATTAAAGGAATGGACATTATCTGCTAAATTTAAGCTTATGGCGTAATATTGTGGAGGGATTAATGTACTGATTAAGTTGGGATTTCCTTGAAAGTGGAGTGAGAAGCTCTGTTGAACTTTTCATGATTGTCTTCTGTTGTTTATGTGGTCCAAAGTGGTAACGGGAAATGTATTAATTTCCTAACTCTGCCTAACCTGCTGTCCTCTGATGGTTTAAATAATGTCTCTTGCATTTTGAATGCGGCCCTAGTCTGTCTAAATTTATAAATCCAGGTGAGAGCACTTTTCCATGAAAGAGATGCAAATTCTTCGTTAATGATACAAATTACAATGAAAATGTGTTAATATAAATTAATACTCAATTTGTAAATTTTGTAAAATAGATTATTGGTTTGATTCGGTCTAAATAGACAAATTTTGTGATATCTTGGAGAATATCCAGATAGCTTGTGGGATTTATCTTTCATTTGAATCTGCGGTAATTGTTTTATCACTGTTTTGAAGTTGCTTACGGGTTTCCTAGGTGGAGTATTCAGTTATTTAATAACTGTTTACTTTTTGAACTATAGAGGTGTCAGACTTTTTGCTTTGAAATTATTTTATTTAAACATGCAATAATTGAGAAAAGAACAGGGTATAGTGGCTATATAAATGTATTGTTAAGTGAAAAACAAGCAGAATGCTAGGCACGCTAGGAAGTGGAAATCATTTTGCAGAAATGAGGTGAAATGATTAATGAGCCTTATCTAGTATTTTTTTAAGATAAAACTATTCAGCACTTTTTATTTATGCTTTTTATAATAGTAAAGCTATTATTGATTAAATTGCCAAACTTCAGTTCTCAGAGTGCATAGTTCATGGAATCTGTAATCAAAACGTACTACTTTCTCTAGGTTAGATCTAGATCTAGATTAGGAGTTGTCTTAAATTTATCACATACTGCAATTGCATTACTGGCTTTGAGGCTTCTGCAGTTGTGCTCGTACAGCTATTCCTGCTTGGTCTTACTTGCATCACTGATCAGCCAAGTGGAGAGCTACAATCTCTGACTAATGGAAAGAAAGTCACATGATGACTTTCATCTTTGCTTTTTCTTCAAAAAGCTGCGTTGATTTTAATTGCACTAGCTGCTTTTGTGTCGAAACGCAACCCAGATTGTGTTAATACATTACAAATTTATCGAACTGTACAAAGTCCCTTTGCAAGGCCTTTAATCCGCAAACCAGCAATTCAGAAGCAGGCTAGTGAGGTTTAAACAGCTCTGAAGTTTTGCGTATTTAACTATTTAAAGTGTAGGTAACTTCTGTTCAAACCACAGCTGAACCAGAAAAACACTGTAATGCAGACCTGGTTATATTGGCAATATAAGCTTATTTTGCTGATGTAGCTTACTCAAAAGTAACTTGTTTAAACTGCACTGGTAAAATAGGTTTTTGCTGATTAAGAGCAGTGTTCTTAATATAGGGGTTTGTAAATATCGCTGTACCTGCAAATCCTTTCCAGTCTACAAAGGGCCAAAATGGAAGCTTGGAAAAATTTTTTTTAAAAGTTATTCTCTAGTAGAGACTTTAAGAAGTTACTAACAACTGAAGTAGTATGGAATGAAGCAGTGTACTGAGTTTTTAAAAGAGGAAAAAACCTGTTATGTATTGTTAATGCTTTGAAAACTTGTTTTAAATATTGTTGAAAACCTATTTTTCAATTCTTTCAATAAAATCTTTTTGTAAAGTTGGATTTGTAAAGCAGCGTTTTGACTGTTGAGAATATAAAATTAGATATACACAGTTACTTGCTTGGAAGGCGAATGTCCAGTGTGGGTTTTTGATACGTTGTCTCATGGGACAGTGGCATCTGTTTTCTAGAAATAGATGTAAAGCTTTTTTGAATGTGTATGTCTGATACCAGTCTTTTCTCAAGTTTCAAAATAAAAGCTGAATTTGCAGTGCAAGTTGAAGCAAATCTTCTGTACAACTAGTTGGGCTACATTAACTACTTTTGTGAAGGCCCAAGAGTAGAAAAATGGGGAAAGAAATAGATAAGGGCAATAATCTCAGATAATTTGGATACCTAGTAAATTTAAGATTGAAGATGTAGTTTAAATGCCCATTCTATACTTAACCTTTGCATGCTGTGACCACGTTCTAGACACTTCTTCCATGAAACTTGTGGCTGATGATTATGATTAAGAGTTTTTATGATTTCATAATTAATCTCTAACCTATTCCAACAGTTCATGATGTCAACAGTCAAATGATTGGTAAATGTGAGGAAGTATCTTATGCAGGTAATACAGCTGTTTTCAATGGAGTTCATTTGCTTTACAAGGTGCCTTGGAGTTTTCCATCTTCTCATGGCTGGCTTGTGACAAACTTGCTGTCCGTGGCCAAAACAAAACACCATTTCTGTGGCAGTGACACTCTATTGCTTATGCATAAAGCAGGGAAAAAGCATGGCCAAAGACTGGACCTTCATTTTGCAGATGATTCTTTGAGACAGTTTGTATGCAATTTGCTAGACTTGTCTTGCCAGCGTGAAGTCATCTTACTGTTTTCAGTTCAAATGGCCCTGTTCTCGCATTGAGAGCTGTAACCACCATTGTTTGTTCCACCCCCCAGTCTTTCCAAGCTGAAGCATCAAAAATTTTGGCACAAAATCAGTTCAGCTGGGCGGATTAAAAAATGGCTGTATCAATTTACCCTGGGTTTTTAAGAGTTAGGAGAACTTAAAGTAGCCAAAGTAGGACTATCTGGACATAAAACCTGTGTGAAGCTTGAGGCCATCTTTTTCTAGTCTTCCGCTGCCCTGCAGTGTGTCATGATAAGCAGAAAAGGATGTTGGTACCAAGATGCAGTGCAATCTAGATCGTTCACATAGGCGTTGGGTGGCAGTATGGATTACAGCCATCTCGGGAAGTACAAAAAAAATCTCTTGTGCTGGATGTGAAGGTCAACACAGCTTGTACCTGTTGCTGCCGTTCCTTGAAATACTAAGTTTAATTTAATCTGGGTCTCCCTTTGTGCAGCAGTCCTGCCTCTTGATGAGAGTGTTGTATTCCTTGTGCAACTGCGAGATAACTTACTGCATTGCTAATGAAAGGAGTGATAGAGAAGCATGTACCATTTAGAGTGGTATTAGGATTTGTCTTGTAAAAACATGATTATATTCTAAAGACAATTTGAACTAGCCTTACCAGTCAATGATTGTTACTGTGGGGCACAGAAGATTGCAAGGCCTAAACGCTCCTCCTTACTTTGTCAAATTACCTTTGTCTTTCTGTGCTGTGTTCTTTTAACTTTTCTGGAATCCAGATTAGTATCAGCTGTTGCGCATGTGCGCAGTAGCTTGAAGCTTTTTTAAGGGGAGTCATGATTACAATGGGGTAAAATAGTTTGGTCTCATATATTGTCCTCCAACAGAAAAGCAGGAAAATATACCCAGAGAAATGCGATTAAAGCTACCGATGCTTGGTAGTGATGGGAAAATAGCAAGTTGATTCATTTTTTCAGTAATGATGAAAAATTGAACTCAATGGCTTGAACAAAGAACAGGCAGAAAATAATAATGCAAAAATTAAGTGTATGAGTGGTTCGGACTCTTTCTTCCTGTTGGGTGCGCTTTACTGCATATGAAAAAGAAGCCTCTCTACATGCTGTTTGTGTGATCTTTTCCATGTTATATGAGAAATAAGATTGATCAAAGAAGGGGAAATGTTGGTGTATTTATCAGATGTTACATAAAGAATTGGTGCAAATTACCCAAACCCGCAATCTCCTTTTATGTATCGTTCTGGGTAAAACTTGCTAAATGCTTTTGACAGGGGAAGTTCTTGATGACATGTAGAGCA